TTGGGCTCAGCCAATATCTCACAGCTCAGCCAGCCTCCCAAAGTTGTTGCCATGAGGATAAAAGGTGGAGAGCAGAAACATGCATGTGCTTGAGCTCCTTGAAGGGAAGGCAGAATGACCACTCCCCACATTAAATGGGGGGCGCCCTCTGCGTGGTCATGCGCAGCCCCCTGGACCCTATGCGGCACCATTAACACAGGCTTGGCTTTGCCTTCCCCAGGTGGGATACCTGGAGGTCTCTGCCTACCTCAGCCAGTTGCCCAATCCCGCCTGGGGAGGCGTTGCCAAGGTGATCAGGGCAGGTAGGGGGAGGGACACAATATGGGGAGGATCTTAGCTGGGAATCCTCAGTTGGCTCCAGAGCTTCTCCCACTCTTCCCACCCTCAGTTAAGACTTCTTTTGCAGGTTAACCTTTTCTCCACAGGTACACGGGCGCTGCTACGTCAAGGTCTCTGTTGAAGGGCTGGAAAGGAATTCTCCTGCATTGGCAGGTTTGCCTTTCCCATAGCAAAACATCACAACTTTGGCGGTATCAGGCCTTGGGCGGAATCCTTTAGTCTGTCTTCCCTAATTTGGGGGTGGGCACGCAGTGCCTCATGCCCCCCTTCTTCTCGCAGCAGTGATACTAGGGTTCCCCGTTAAAGGGGTTGTTTTGAGGGGAGGCTTTGGCCGTACGCCAAGAGGTTGTCATTGCTCTCTCTGCTTGAACATATGTTCTCCAGAGCCAGCTCCCTGCCCCCACACTCTGGATAAGCCTGATGTTCCCCAGATCCCTGGTGGGGGCCTGGGAGGGATAAACACCCAGTGGCTGAGCCAAGGTCTACCCACATCTGAAACATAATAAAGTTGTGGCCAATTTTAATCCCATAGCAGGTTGTCTTGAGTCGTTATTTCACATGGGGGCCACCCGGGGTTTTGGGGGACTCCGCCTGTCCACGCAATATTAATTACGCCTGGACTTAGGGCTGATTTAGCACAGTGGCAGCTGTTTTTCTGTGGTGCAGATGTGTGTGCATTCCCTTTGTAGCCAAGAAGCTCTGGGCAGGATAGGAATGAGCATCCTTTTACCACCTTTTCACAAGGTGCTTCCGTAACCCACAGTCCCTGCTAATGGCAGCGAGACCTCACTGCGGGTCACCTCATTAGGAATGTTTCCATCTGCTGCAGCCCTGCTGAAAGCGCTCCAGGCGAGATCGTATATTTAGCACAGATGCCACGCATGGAGAGCAAGATGAGGAACACACAGCCAATCTTCTTATTTGCGTCGAGTGCCGGACGCTGCCTTAGACAGTAATTTCGTGGTGGAAGCAAGAGTCACAGGAACCAGTCTCTTTAATCCTCCAAACCGTGCCACCAAGTTTTGAGTCATAAGAGTAAAATAAATAAATAAAGGCCAATCAACTCAGTTTTATGCAATAAAACTATATGGTTATCACAATATAAAATAAAAGGGGGGAGTGGAATTAATAAAACGAAAGCCCTTAACAAATTGGGACCAATTTACCTGCGAGATCGCCTTACATTTTCCACACCCACTCGACCATGTTGATCAGCAGAACTGGCACTCTTACAGTGCCACATCACACCCATTCCACATTTGTAAGAACTCAATATTTTAGGGTGGCTGCACCTTCACTTTGGAACTCACTTGCTATTGATATCAGGCAAGCGGCTTCGCTCTGCTCTTTTCAGTGCCTGCTAAAAACATTTGTGTTGAGACAAGTCAGTGTAGATGTTTAGAAAGCTGGTACAAGTTTTGATCTGTTTTTAGTCTGTTGTTATTTTAACTTTTTGAAAGTCTTAAATTGTTATTTTTTCATATTGATACATTCATTGTTTTATCTTCTTTGTAAGCCCCATTGAGGAAGGGCTTTTTTTCCAGCTGGAACTCGCCAGAACTCAATTCTAGCACCTCTCAGGTGTGTGCCATTGCCATTCTAAGAGAACGAGGGAGGTGCTGATGGTGAGTTCCAGCACCTCTTTTCCTAGAAAAATAGCACTGCTTTGAGGTTTGTGTGTATGGTATTTTATTTTTTATTTTTATACAATCAAGCAGTTTAAACTTATGATTTTTTAAAAAGCCAGTGTGAACTTTTTATGAAAGGGGACAGAGTCTGCTCCCCACCCTGTCCCGAGATTTGGGGCTTCTGAAATTTAGTTTTCCTCCCCCCCCCTCTCTCTCCCTGCCTCTTGCTCTGTTTGCTTCCTGACTCCCTTCTCCACACATTTGGATATTATATATATGAATGAATTCATTTAGTGCCTATATAAACCAGGCACTGCAGATCCAACAAAAGACACAGATCTATAACCACCAGGCCTGTTAGCTTCTGTCTTCCAGTTACGCACCATGAATTACACATCTTCCTAGTAGCTTGGTTCCTAGTAACAAAGACCCACGTGTTTTTTTAATGCATTGGGAAGGAGATGAAAGGCTGCTCTTTGGAATGGGCACCGTCCTTTAAAGTTTCCTGCTGTTTTTTTGTCAAAAACCAAGGTTCTAGAGAAAAATTTAACACCGTTTGAAAGAGAGAGGTTTCAGAATTCAGGTTTAACAGTGGTTAAGAAAGTTAAATACCTGGGGATTAACATGACAGCAAAAAATGGGAATTTATTTAAAGATAATTATGAAAAATGTTGGTCAGAAGTGAAAAAAGATTTAGAAATTTGGTCAAATTTGAAGCTTTCACTGCTAGGCCGTATTGCTGCGATAAAGATGAATGTATTGCCTAGAATGTTGTTTTTGTTTCAAACTTTGCAGATCGTGGACAAAATGGATTGTTTCAAGAGGTGGCAGAAAGATATTTCTAAATTTGTCTGGCAGGGCAAGAAACCCAGAATAAAATTTAAAATACTAACGGATGCAAAGGAAAGAGGTGGATTTGCCTTGCCAGACCTTAAACTGTACTATGAATCAGCAGCCTTTTGCTGGTTGAAAGAATGGCTACTTCTTGAAAACACTGACATTTTGGATCTAGAAGGTTTTAATAATGTATTTGGATGGCATGCATATTTATGGTATGATAAGGTCAAAGCACATAAAGCATTTAAAAACCACATTGTCAGGAAAGCGCTGTTTAATGTTTGGATAAGATATAAGGATTTGCTAGAAAATAAAACCCCAAGGTGGCTGTCACCAATGGAAGCGAAAGCCTTGAAAAAGGTCAATATGGAGGTCAAATGGCCGAAATATTGGGAAATTTTGGAACAAGACGGAGATAGACTGAAATTGCAGAGTTTTGAAAAACTAAAAACAAAGTGCGAGACTGGCTTCATTATTATCAAATAATGGAGGTATTTAAATTGGACAGGAAAATTGGCTTCCAGGTGGAAAGATCCAAATTAGAAACAGAATTGTTAGAACCCAAGACTAAGAACTTGTCAAGAATGTATAACTTGCTGCTGAAATGGAATACTCAAGATGAAACGGTAAAATCGGCTATGATTAAATGGGCACAGGACATAACATTATGTTTGCTGACTGGGAACAGTTATGGACCACAGGTATGAAATTTACGGCATGTAATGCCTTAAGAGAGAATATTATGAAAATGATATACAGGTGGTACATAACCCCAGTCAAGCTTGCGAAAATCTATCACTTGCCCGATAACAAATGTTGGAAATGTAAAGAAATTGAAGGTACTTTTTTCACCTTTGGTGGACGTGCCCAAGGATTAAGGCGTTCTGGGAAATGATATATAAAGAATTAAAAAAGGTATTTTAGTATAACTTCCCCAAGAAACCAGAGGCCTTTCTCCTGGGCATAGTAGGCCAAATGGTGTTAAAAAGGATAGAACTTTCTTTATGTATGCAACAACAGCAGCAAGAATACTCATCGCAAAGTATTGGAAGACACAAGAACTTCCCACGCTGGAGGAATGGCAGATGAAACTTATGGACTATATGGAATTGGCGGAAATGACTGGCAGAATCCGTGACCAGGGAGAAGAGTCGATGGAGGAAGACTGGAAGAAATTCAAAGACTATCTTCAGAAACACTGCAAAATTAAGGAATGTTAGAGTGATGTTGGACTGAAAATAAGTGGTTTCCAGCTGTACAGGTTAAAGTTAAGGATAGATTAAGATTAAAGATCAAGATTAAAGATGTTTAAAGAAATGGAAATTTGATAATAAAGGGGGAAAATTTAAAGCTATATGACATTAAGATCAAGGATTAGGTTTAAAAAAGTTGAAGTTATATATTTTAACATTTTATTAAATTAAAGATTGGGATTAAAAAAGTGGAAAAGAAACTGCTGGACAAATAATGTGGATTGGAATACAAAGAGGGAGGTATGAGGAAGTCCAGAAAATAAGTAATTTAAAATTGGAAATGGAAAAGAGAGTTTGTTTTTAATTGTTATGTTTTGTGTTTTTATTGTTAAGTTTTGTATTGTTTTTTGTGTGTGTTGTTTTTCTTTTTTCTTTGTTTAAAACCTTAATAAAAAATTATTTAAAAAAAATAAAAATAAAAATAAAGTTTCCTGCTGAGCCTCTTCGAGGACAGTGGAAGGACCCTAGAGCTAAATCATTATTATTATTTTTATTATTATTTATTAAAGATTTTGTTGATTTACAAAAGTGTTTGCAATGTCTCTCTCTCGTATTTCCCCCCCCCCCCCCATGTAACATTTTTACAAATCAGTTTCATTTGTTGAGACATTAGGAAGAAAAGGGGGAAAGAGGTGGAGGGGGGAAAGATGGGTGGGGGTGGGGTGGGGTGGCGATGTTTCTATTTTACTTAATATATGTGGGGTTTGGTGTCAGCGTTGCTTGTGCAGGTTCTTTGCTGTTCACATGTGTTCCTTTGGTGGTGAGAGACGTTGGGGTTGGCCTAGGGTGTGGTTATTCATTTGAGCTAAATCATTTACACCATATATTTTACCCCTTTTCTCCAGGTTGAGAACAGTATGAGCTGGAGGGTTTTTTATTTACTGGTACTTCTTTATACATTTTCTTAAAGCTTTTGACATGAAGATTCTTCGGAACGTCAAAAAGAAAGTCTTGCACATAAGCTCAGCTGGTTAGAGCTTGGCTCTGATAATGCCAAGGTTGCAGGTTGGATTCCTGCCAATTCCTACATTGCGGGGTTTTCCCTTCCAACTCTAGGATTCCATTGTCTCGTCCTTCAGCACATGTCCTTAAGCCCAGTTCTGGAGGAGGGCTGGCTGGACTAGTGGGGTTCCTGCATGGAATCAGGACTCCCAATAGTGTGCAAAAAGAATACAGGTATGTGTGTATCCTGGCAGATAAACGTCTATATATTACACACCAGGTAGCCAAGAAGCTCCGTTCCAGCTGTGTGAATGCACTCCAATCTCAAGTCTTAATGTTGTAAATTTCTTTTTAAGTTGTAAACTGCTACAGGTTATGTGTATGATTTTGGATGAAAATTTCCTTTTATTCTCTGTTGTCCATTGTAAAGGCCTTTGGCTATATACAAAAATTGATTGATTGTGGTGTGTGTATAGCTATATCTCTTTCTTACATTAAAATTTATTTAAGAAATAAACAGATTTAAAATAAGCAGTTAACTATTTTAAAATTTAAATAACAAAACAGATAAAATAAATACAAACAATATTTAAACAGATAGCATCTGGTTTTTATTATTATTATTATTATTATTATTATTATTATTATTATTATTACACAGAGTAGGATCTGAACCAATAGATTCAAATTACAGGAAAAGATTCTGACTCAACACCAGGAAGAACTTGCTGAGTTTTAAGAACTGCTTGGCAGTGGAATGGACTCCCTTGGAAGGTGGTGGACTCTTCTTCACTGGAGGCTTTTAAGCAGAGGTTGGGTGGTCATCTGTCATGGATTCTTGAGCTGTGATTCCTGCATTCCAGGGGACTGGACTAGATGACTGTTTTGGTCGCTTCCAACCCTACAGCTCTATGATTCTGCCGTGGAATGGCATCATAAATCCCTGAGAAAATAGCCTGGTCTTAACCAGGTGCTGAAACTGAGCTGAAGTTGACACCAGATGGACCTCCAAATGGAACCACTGTTGGCTCCATAAGGATCAGCAGAACTGACTCCTGAAAGTTGGGAGCAGAGGGAAGGTGCCCTTGTGATATCCCGAGATTGGCTCAAGAGTTTCCTGGGAGAGAAATTATATAACCCACTGTCTCCTCATCTCAACACTATTTAGGAAGTCGGCTTCCTTGTCTTCTTCTAGATTATTCTCTCATGCAAGCCACACTTTTGATATCTTTGTTCCTTACTCAGCAAAACAGCTCTCCAGTTGCCAGCCCAATCAAAGCAATCTTTTAAACTCAGTAAGGCAGATAATTTTTTTGAGTCATCTTTCTCAGCTGGGGCCATTCACTGCTTTAAACCATTACGGCTCCCAGCAGATACTTTTATTCTTTCTTAGATGTGGGCAAATGAATATCAATAGCTAAAACTGCAGAGCCAGTAGCCGATGAAAACAGTAGCAATTTGCCCTTGTAGGTTTTGATCACAGCAAGGCGCTCAGGGGCTTTTGGCTCATTAACGCCTGATTGAAAAAGGAAGCCCATCTTAGGGAAAGCGTAGGATGCATGGGGGGGGGGGGAAGCAGGAGAGAGGAGGCAGGCCACTGTGATCATCACAAACCTAACTATCTGAAAGCACTGGCAATGCAAATTTAGTCAGTGTCCTGAGAGGAAATACAAGATTATATAAGAAGGCAAAGACACAGACACATGGGCAAGAGGAAATGTGGATAAGCCCTAAGTCCACACACCAGTTTCCAGCCCCTCAGTTTCACACTTCCTCACACAGTACATAAACGAACTATGGAACTCACTCCCACAGGAGGCAGGGATGGCCTTTAAAAACAGGCTTTGAAAGAGGATTGGACAAATTTATGGAGGAGGAGAGGGTGGCTCTTGGGTGGCTCTGCCCTGCCTCCACAGCTGGTCTGGGAACTTTAAGAACTTTCATCAGCCTAATGTAAACCATGGGCGGCAAAAAGCCGGGTCAGCACCATTCTCATGAACAGGCCTTTTAAAAAGTAACGCGTATTAGCCCTCTGTTTTATTTATTTATTTATTTATTTATTTATTTATTTATTTATTTGTGTAGGATATTTATTTTGTTATTTGTGTAGGATATTTATTTTGTTATTTGTGTAGGATATTTAGAAGCCTGGCAAAGAAGCCTGCAAGCAGGACTGGAATGAATTATTGCAGGTGTCGGTAGCTGGATTAATTTCCTCCTTTTGTGGATGACAAAGTCAGATGGTTGTGAATGTTGCAGAAGATGATGTAATCTGGCTTCAAGGAGACAAGAGAAGGGGGGGGAGAAGGTGAGCAGACCCCCCCCCCGAAACTGCTGCAGTGCCAACTCAAGGCACTTGCAGATGACACAGTTACTGAGCATTCACCATGCTTTGTTTGAAAGTCACTACCCATTACCATACTAGACACAACCTCTTAAACATTTTTTGGTCTTTTTTGGCTTCTTGCTTTTAAAAGCCCTGCTGTAGAGCTCAGTGTGACTTACAGCCCAATCTTATGAATTGGTAGCTGCAAGTCCTACTGAGTTCAAAGGGAGTGCAGCCTGATCCTATGCATGTTTACTCAGAAGTATAGGATTTCAGCCCAGTGATGCTCTTCTCTGTATCTTCTTTCCACCACTGCCTCCACCTTCCCCCCTTCCAGACTCGACTGTGTGTGCCTCCTATTTCAGATAGATAGCTCTAGGACCATGATCTGCTGTCCCTCTGAAATCTGCCACTGAACTGTCCCACCTCAGCCAGCCTCATGGTAGAGCAGGCTCTGGGCCAACCCATTGGTCCTAGACAGAGATACAGATAAACAGCATCATGAATTATGGTCCAGGTAAGCGAAGTCTGTGCCATGGGATGGATTAATGCAGCAGGGAGGAAGACGTTTGGTGAGTTTGCGCATACAAGTCTACGAGTGTGATAAAAGTTCCACAGGTGCCTTTGAGAAGTTTGGTGGTGCTTTTTAAAAAAGCTACATTACTGGGGGAGATGAAACATTTATTTCCAGCAAAAATGGAAGCATTTCACACCTGCTGGGGCTCATTAAACATTTCCTGCACCTGAGTTAGCCTTTGGCACTCTCCCAGAGATGCCACAAATGATCCAGAGCAAGCACGAAGTTTGACTAACTGGAGCACACGTCTTGGATGCCTGCCAAGGGAAGCCTTTCATCCTCAAAGGAGAAATGTCTCCAAGGATGAGTCAGTAAAGACAGCAACTAAGCAACACAGACGAAAGAGAGAAAGAGAGAAAACCTACCAGCTTTGAACTGCTCTGAAGTCTGGGGGATAAGAAGTCACAAAAATGACATAAGTGGGTTATTCATGATTCTGAACTTGAAAGATGGAGTTTGATGTGTTATTTAGGACTGATGAAAAGGGGAGGACTGGAGCTCACTGGAAGAGACCCAGTTTGCACGCAGAAGGTCTCAGGCTCAACCCTCCAGAAATCTCTTGGTAGTGTCTGGGAATATCCCCTGCCTTAAACCCCAGAGAGCCTCTGCCAGCCAGTGTAGACAAAACTGACCTATATGGACCAAGGGCCTGATTCAGTGGCAGCTTCCTGAATTCCTAATTTGGGATGCTGGCATTATGTCCAAATGAGCCCAGCAGAGACACTGCAAAGGGACCATCATCGCCAACTGTTAAACAACTGGGAGAGGAGAGCTCAGAAAATGCCCTCTTATGACATTAGGGACTTAAAACCAAAGACCCTGAAGTCTGAGCTGGCACTGGCGTTTCCCTTCAGATTATTTTATTTTATTTCATTTTATTTCATTTTATTTTATTTATATCTCATGCTTTCCTCCAAAAAGCTCAAGGTAGTGTGAACATTTCTCCTCCTCATTTAATCCCCAGAATAACCCTGTGAGAGAGATGTGGCTGAGATGCAGTGACTTGCCCCCAAGAGCACTCAGTGAGCTTCATAGCCAAGTGGGGATTTGAACCCTGGTCTCCCAAGTCCTAGTCCGACACTCTAACCGCTACACCACACTGCCTTGCCCTTGAAGAGAAGACTGGGGCTGAGAAACCAAGGTAGAGTGTGTGCATGGAGGCTTGAGTTTTTAAAAGAGCACAATACCTGAGACTGCAGAATATCACTGCTTACATTTATATATCCGTGTATGTTTCTTCTTCTTCTTCTTCTTCTTCTTCTTCTTCTTCTTCTTCGGCAATCACTCGTAGCCGAGTAAGATATTCTCCCATAAACATGGTTTTAACAATGAGTTCGCAAGTGACTGTGGAGGCCAATTCTGGATCCACACGTCCTTCCACAGTGGGGACATTGGTTTCTGGGTGGGAGTTGATCACAGTGGATTTGCCAAGCATGCCTTCCTCTTAGCACGTTTCTCCCTTGCGTCCTGAGTTTGAGTGTCTTCAAAGCCCATGACACCTTTGGTAAAGGCTGCTCTCTAATTGGAGCGCTTGCAGGCCAGTGTTTCCCAATTGTTGGTGTTTATACTACATTTTTCAAAATTTGCCTTGAGACAGTCTTTAAACCTCTTTTGTTGACCACCAGCATTACGCTTTCCATTTTTAAGTTCAGAATAGAGTAGTTGCTTTGGAAGACGATCATCAGGCATCCGCACAACATGACCAGTCCAATGAAGTTGATGTTGAAGAATCATTGCTTCAACACTGGTGATCTTTGCTTCTTCCAGTGCACCGATATCCAGCGCCTGTCATCCCAAGTGATGTGTAAAATTGAGTGTATGTTTTATTTAATCAATGTACCACTTCATATTTCCACAAAAATCTTTCATCAGTTTATGCATCCCAATATATTGCAATCAATATAAAAAATGCAATACAAGTTCTGCTTTCAAAGCCAAACAAGGAAGGAGCAACAAAGAAACTGATGTGCAACAACTGAGGTTTCCTACTTCTATGGGATGTGGGATCATAAAAGTCCACGTGAAGAAGACTGTTGGGTCTCCTTGTGTTTGCATGGAGAAGAGTGGGTCTGCTCATTTCCCCTCTGCCACAGGACACTTTGTTAATATGTGTTGTGTCATTAAACCCCCTTTGTTTTCAGGAGGAGGAAGAGGCAGATTTCCACATTGCAATGGGATTTT